CCAAATGCATCAAGTCACTTTAATCAACTTGTCCAATATAGATTTGATCCTCCACATCAATATGACCATCATAGCTTGATTAGTACCTCAACTAAATGCAAGTACTTTCTTCTTCACCCTAGCTAGGTTCCTCGGCCATCAAGCCGTCGCTTGCCCTTCACCCTTGCTTAGTACCTCGAAGCCTTTTCTTGCTATCTTCACCATCTCAAGCCGTCAAGTCACATCTTGTATTAAATCAACCATTCATTTGTATTGTTGTCTTTTTTATTTCAATTTAGCAAAGCTTCAAATATGAGACCATTCCATATGCAATCCCTCATGTCTCATTAATTAACTCTTATCGTGCTTGCTTTCACATAGATCATTGAAATCCCACAATAATAAGCCTTTGCATGAATTCCATTTGCATTGTTGTCTTGTGCTTGAACTAGATTGTTTATACAACAATACATCATTTTGGCTTTATACAATTTCATCAAGTATCTATGAGATAATCAATTTCCTGTCTAACACTTAGCAAACATGTTAGTCCTTTAATCGTGTTGTCATTCAATCATCCAAAACTCACTAAAGGGCTAGATGCACTTTCAAATGAATATAAAGATATTGCCAACACATTATGTGTTAAAAGAGATGAACAAGAGAAGCACACAATGAAAGCATACAAGATAGACAAGGAAGAAATGTGGTAGAAAATCCAAAACTTAAAGCTCGACTTCGGTACAAGTTCCTGTCCAATAAATTTCTAAATTTGGCATATAAAGCAGGCAGCTCTCTGGAATGTTGTTTGCTGTTAGGCAATGCACTTGATTGCCTTGGTAGTTAGAGGATAAATTCAATGCATCTACTGTGTTGCGAATGAAAACCCATGTACCGGCCAAGAAAAAAGTTGACCCAAATGTGTAGGAAAGAGATGCCCTTGGTGCCACACAAAAGAAAAAGGAAGTTTATTAAACAAAAAAGGAGATAGAGAACATGGTTAGATAAGTTATATAAGGTGAAGCGTAAAACAACTAAATATGTTTGTACTAGCAAACAAGAAAGCATGTATACTAGATGCTGCCCCGCGCCGCGCTTCGCTGTGGGTAGAGGGCGAAACACAACAAATATAAGCAAAGATCTAAAAAAGATACCAGACTATATAATCATGTCTCCCTAAACAAATGTCATATTCAATTCAAAGTATTTGAGCTAGAAAATATATAATCGATCAGATTCATAACCACGCCACTTCAGGGTGGATCGGTCTCCTTATGTAATGTCCTAGCTCATAATATGTATCTGCAATGGTCACAAAGCAAGCAAGAGATAACCAATAAGCTCCAGGAACAAATCAACACAGGATGAAAAAGAGGAAGAGCCTATGCCAGTTTATAAGGCATGAAATCGGTCAATCAATATGAGCATGGATATGGTTAAATCATCATATTAGAGAAAAAGGTTCCCATAGACTCAATGTAGTCATTTAAACCGTAAATAGAGCAAGATTATGTACATACCATAGGCATAGCAAAGATGATACAATGGATTTGTTTTTCTAATGACATCAAACTCTGAAAGGGTCTATACAACTCAGTAGGTATCATGTATTATTTTTAGCCTCTTTCTTTCAATTTCTTTTTTTTCTTGTATGGGGAAAGTTTTTTTTATCAAGCAAATCCTGTGGGTATGGGGAAAGTTTTTTTATCAAGCAAATACTGTGACTAATAGAAGCAAATTGTAACCCCATAAATCATGTGAGGTGGCCTAAAAGTGGACTTACATTTTTTGTTCCGGAACTCGGCGGCAACTTACTTCAAAAAGTGTACTAGAACTTTGAAGGGGTCAAATTGGATGTATGAGACGCAACTGGAGCAAGTGAAGAGTTGTGTAATCTTTGCTCACTGAATCAAGAAGACATGTTTGTAAGAGTGTAAACCAAATTTAGAATACACCTATGAACCTACAAATACTACCTAGACAAATAGAATGGGATGAAAGAAATAAGGGATATTTAGAGAGATTTTGCCAGACTCAACCCTCGCATAACAAATTTGGATTCACTTATCAGTGACTATGCAGAACATATGAAAGATTAGAATTAGTACTAATTGTTTATGCGAAGCATTTTCAAAAAATAGTGTTATGACTGTGCATTTAGTGCAGGATCAAAAAGCAGGTACAATCCTTTTTTCTAATATTTTGAATGCTATGCAAACTAATGTGGAGCTTGATCAATATGGTTTGCGATAAACATCCAAAAAGCGACAATGCATTAGATTGTGCGTAGTAGTATACATTAGATAGCTAGAATGAATTAGAGCTGCACTTATAAGCGGCATTGGCAGATTAGTAATGCTTACGAAAAGATTAACAACATTCAAAGTTGTAATGCATGTTTCAGTACTAAGCTGCTACATGGATGATCGAACATTCATCGAACAACACGATATGAGAGAAAAAACATGTATGCATGTGTGGGCTTTTATAATCGTGTAGCTTGCATCTGTGCACATAGATATTGGATTAGAAAGATGAGTAAGCACAGATCAAAGAATACAAACACGAATTAGTTCAAAGGTGCAAAGGTAGCATAGTATAGCTAATTAAAGAGTAAGAAAAGTATATGCTCACGAAGAGCAGCCCTTTAAATTGTTCCTCTTTGTTGTGATCATGGAAGCAATCTTTCAAGCAGAATCTGCAGGTACATGAACAAACCGGTCTATGTAGTAGATCTTTCATTGCATATAAGGATACAACGAAGGATCATATGAACACATGTGACCAGGTCTGTAAAAGCTTATATGATGATTCCAGTTAGTTTCTTTAATACATAAACTACACAGGAAGCATAGCACGTGGACCTAAATTTAGGTCATTAGAACTTTAAACATTTAGGGAAACTAATATGAAAACCCGATATGAAGGTAAGGAGAGGCGTGAGACCATAATGGCGCAATTGTCCTCTATGGACCTTTCGAGGTAGTCGAGTTAAAGAGGAGCATACATGCGAGAGGGCCTCCATAGCCTCGACAAATATTCCACATCACTAGCTTCGATCCATTTTTGGGCAACCTAGAATTAGTTGGTACAAAATAACTAAAAAACACCAACACATATAAATTGAATCCTGTGAAGCACAAACTGGCGTACTTTGTCATGAATGAGATGACCTTGGCGTGGTGGGCGTTTGCAGATTGAACACCATATCAATCGGCACGCACAAAGAATTGAGTACCACGAAGCTGCAAGAACGGCCTACCTCGTGGTGACCTATGAAGCAAGTCGAATAGTACCTACAACACAAATGAAGGTATTGAGGAAAAACAAAATCGAACTCTGGGTGTACCAAATTGGAGCGGGAAGGCAGCCCTAGGGCACGTGGCGACTCCGTTTCTCTTCATCGAGCAAAGAACGAATGGCGTGGGGTCCCGAGTTGCTCCTGGGTGCTTGGCGACGGTGTCCCTCGCCAGGCTTTGTGCTCCGCCATGGAGGTCCACTTGTGAGGCCCATCGCGGTACGCCTCCATGATCTTGAGCAAGATCCAGTGAGAGGGAGGAGAGAGAGAGAGAGAGAGAGGGAGGGGCAGGGGGTGAAGCGGAGGCGTGTGGTGGAGGTGGAGGACGAGAGGAGGAAGAGGCGGAGTGCGTGATGGAGGCGGACGACGACGCGAGGGATTAGATCGATCGCGAGAGGAAGAGAGAGAGAGAGAGGAGGGAGGAGCTTGGAGGGAGACACAGAGGGCGCGCCATGTGAGGTAGACTACCGCGAGGGGAGAGGCGGAGTGTGCGCGACGGAGGTGCAGAGATTTGACTGAGGGATCGCAGTGGTGGCGGTGAGAGGAGGAGAATCGGGATAGGAATGAGGCGGTTTGGTCATGAGGTCCAGGATGGCCGATTTTTTTTTTTCTATTTCGAGCGTTTAATGGTTGCGAGGCGGGCCACTCGTCTGCGGGGTGTAGACGGCACGCGTGGTTTTCACGTGAGGTGGGAGGTGTCGTTCAAATAGTAAAATAGTATCGAATGGTGACCGTCGGATGGACGGATCGGACTGACCAAGGGTGTGGCTGGGCATTGTAGGACTGTGTGACGGCTGAGAAACTAGTCATTTGATATATATGATGATATGATATGATATATGATATGTTTGCAATTGCAATATGAACATTACTATATTAGTTGCAATTTCGTTGGCAGCAAAAGAACCTCAAGTACAAGTGGAACGTGATGGCGAGAACAAAGGAGAAGCTTTGAACCGTTGGATTTGATTTGAAGGGCTGGATGCTGAAGGTAAATTATACGGTGACTTGCTAAGACTAGTTACCGAATCTGTGTCTTACGGACCCGTCTCCCGTCTCCCCGCCTCGCCATCCCCGCACCACCCCTCCGGCCGCCGCATCGTCGCCGCCGCTCCTCGCGGTCTGGCCCCTTGCCTCGCCGTCGCCGTCTCCGCCGCCCTCTCGGCCCGGCCCCTCGCCTCTCCGTAGCCTCCGTTCGGCCTGCCTTTCAGCGCGGGTGAGGAGGCGCCGGAATCTGGGCTGTCGCCGAGCCGTTTCGAGCCCAGCTCGATCACTTCTCTGCTCAACGGAAAGGAGACGGATTCGTGGGTCGTCAGCAGGCGCGGCGGCGACTTCATCGGGTGTTCGGCCGCTTTCGGCGCGCAAAGCGGACGACGCGTGCGCCCGCCCCCAGGGATGACCGGCGGTTGAGATCCGGTCCGAGCTCGCTTCTTCGTCTTCCTCTCCAGCTGCGTGCCCCAGTCCGAGCTTGTCTTCTCCTTTATCTGTCCACGATTCGTTTCAAAGCTCGCTTCCTAGCGAAGTCAGCTTCGAATCGACGCGTGGCCAGATAAATCTACTACAAACAGGGCCTTCCTCAGCGCGCTCTTGCACGGCCGATAGTGGCACGGGTTCGCGATTTGGCGGCAGAGTGCTGCGACGGCGGGAGGTAGTGTGCCGCCAGCACGGTGAACTGCCGCTCGTTGCTGCGGTACGCTATTGATCCCTAGATTTCCCAACGAACATGGCGGAGGCGGCTGCCCACTCCTCCAACTCGGCCGTCGACGGTGGCGGCGGTAGCGTTCAAAACGATTATCCCACCATTGACCCGACCTCGTTCGACGTGGTGCTCTGCGGCACGGGCCTCCCGGAGTCTGTCCTCGCCGCCGCCTGCGCCGCCGCTGGGAAGACGGTCCTCCACGTCGATCCCAGCCCGTTCTACGGCTCCCTCTACTCTTCCATCCCACTCTCCTCCCTCGCCTCCTTCCTATCCCCTGAGGCCTCCCCACCCACCTCGTCGCGGCGGCGGCCGCCGCCTCCGATTCGCGTACCGTCGTCGTCGATCTCCACCGACGGAGCGTGTACTCCGATGTCGAGACCTCGGGGGCGGCGCCAGAGCCGGCGAGGCGGTTCACCATTGACCTGGTGGGGCCCCGTGTGCTGTACTGCGCCGATGAGGCAGTGGACCTCCTCCTGCGGTCGGGGGGCAGCCACCATGTGGAGTTCAAGAGCGTGGAGGGGGGCAGCCTCCTCTACTGGGAGGGCTGCCTCTACCCAGTGCCAGACTCGAGGCAGGCCATCTTCAAGGACACCACACTCAAGCTCAAGGAGAAGAACATCCTCTTCAGGTTCTTCAAGCTTGTGCAGGCGCACATTGCTGCCGCATCAGCTTCTGCTGATGAGACGAGAGAGGGGATGCATCTGCCAAGATACCTGAGGAGGACCTGGATCTCCCTTTGTTGAGTTCCTCAAGAAACAGGGCTTCCCCAAGATGAGAGCGTAAGGGTGTTATGAATTGGTCGAGTATATGCTATTTTTAGCAGCATGACTAAGATTGGGCTCGGTGTGGTGTTTGCAGGGTTGTGCTGTATGCGATTGCCATGGCGGATTATGATCAAGATGGTGCTGACCCTTGTGAAAAATTGATTACAACGAGGGAGGGAATCCAGACCATTGCTTTGTACTCCTCGTCCATTGGGAGGTGAATTAGCTTGTCTGAACTTTTCCTTGTCCACTTTGGAAAACCATATTTATATATCATATTATATAATGCTTTGTTTATTAATCCACCTTTCATTTAGCTTTAGAGAAGATATATGTAATCTAACATGTAAAACCTTAAAATAACATAGCTGTGGTGGTATAATTTTACATCTTATTTTTCACCACACCAGGTTCGCTAATGCAGAAGGCGCTTTCATTTATCCTATGTATGGGCATGGTGAGCTGCCTCAGGCTTTCTGTCGCTGTGCTGCGGTTAAGGGCGCCCTATATGTAAGATGATCTTCACAAGTATGCGTGGCAATGTTTTTTGTGCTCTAGCTTTGGCTATAGTTTCTTTAGTCGCATGATTGTAGCATCTTTCATCCCAATTATCTGTAATTGGTACATTGCAATTTGATTGCAACCCAAACATTTAGGAACAATGATGTGGTAGTCCTGGGCTTGACATCTCTCTGCTGGAATGGCATCTGACGCCTTCTTTACTTCTTTTCTTTTTAATAACTTGTGCTGGTTTCCTCATACTTAGCCTTAACAACATATCTTATTGTTCAGGTGTTGCGGATGCCAGTGGCTGCAGTTCTTATGGATGAGGTATGATAATAAACTAAAATCTATGGTATGGCCATATTCCTGCAAATTTGTTTTTGCCTGATGTCATTATCATACACTGGATCCTTTTGAAATCTTGCTTATTTCATCTATGTTTCATCTTTATGCACAGCTTCTATTTGCGTTACTAACCTGAAATAATTTATACTTTATTGATCAGGAAAAGAAGCATTTTGTAGGTGCCAGATTGGCATCTGGTCAGGATATTTTGTGCCAACAATTGATATTCGACCAGTCTTATAAGATTCCTACCTTGGATGTCCCATTTGATGGTTCAGATTCTCACTTTCCAAGAAAAGTTGCAGAGAGGGTATGCATAATTAGCAAGTCCGTGAAACAGGGATCATCAAATGTTCTGGTTATTTTCCCTCCAAAATGTAAGGACAACTATTCTTTTACTTGTGTTTATGCCAGATCTTATTGATGTATTGGTGATCTTGGTTCTCTTTGTTGATCCCATTTCTACTCTTAATTTAGCACTAGAAGAGCAGCAGGTCACAGCTGTTCGACTTCTTCAGTTGAGCAGCAATCTCGCAGTATGTCCTCCTGGGATGTAAGCTATCTATCCTATCATCATAGTATGCATCAATGTAATTCTCTCATGTACTTGTTATATCTACCAGTCTACCGCCAGGAACCACTATGTTCAAAATTGCCCTATAATATAGGCAAGTAACTTACCTCACAAGCTAATCTCACTTGCAGGTTTATGTCATATCTGTCTACTCCTGTCACGGATGTCTCAGCGGAAAGCAATGCATAAAAAAGCAATAGATGCTCTTTTCAGTCCTCAGGCTTCAGATGGTTCGGGAAGGCCATCTTGAGACAGCCAGTGAAAGCACTGGGGATGTGAAACCAACACTAATCTGGAGCTGTGTGTATGTTCAAGACATCACACAGGTGCATTTCTATTTGTTATCAATATGGACTGTATTCATGTTGGTTTCAGTACTATAAACACATTGGTTTTTCAGGTTATATATATGTGTTTTTATATTTAAAGCATTTGGTGTCCTGTCTTGCACTATCAGGAAAAAAATCAGGGAACATCTTTATTGTCATGCCCCATGCCTGATGAATACCTGGACTACAGAAATGTACTGGGATCAACAAAAAAGGTATTACATTCTGTGAACTTTTTCTGTTTCTTGTATGATGTACACATGTACCTGCATGAGAAATTAGGTCTGAAACTCTGGTTGATCTGTAATTCTGTCAGTATCAGATGGTTATAACAATTTTCTTCGTAATATACATCAAGAGTACGCTCTTTTGTGACAGCTTTAGAATGGATGATGCTTCATTTACACCACTAGCTCTGTCCTGACGAATTTGTTTTCTTATTTTCTTTTACAGTTATTCGCAAGTATCTATCCTGATGAAGAGTTCTTACCTAAAAAGTCAGCTCCTGTATATGCCGATGATGACTCTGATTCTGCAGAGTAAAACCATCTTTCTAGAGGTATGTCTTTGCATATGGAACTTTCACTAGGAGCTCACATTCTAGCTTATACACATATGAAAATATTTTCTGATACTGAGACAATGTTTGCTCCTATGCAACATACAGCATATGGAAATATTAGTATCTTTGCTCATTGGAATATAAATGTCATGACATGCTGAACTTTGTGCCATTTGTTCATATTGATGAAATTATCACCGCTATAAATTTTGGTGATTAAGATTTTTGAACAATTTTTAGACTCCAGACCGATAGGCCCTGCTTTATAGAGAGCAATGTTTTGCTGGGGAGACCAGCTTACAAAGGGTAGCACTAAGTTATACCATTACAAGTTTAAAGCGGGCTCTCTCTCTCTAAACTCCCTCTTCCTCAAACAAAACCTGAAAGATAAGATACCCAACATTGCATTCAAAGTTGACACGCGCCCCACTATAGCTAACAGGAGCTTCAGCTAACCGGCTGCAGCGATTATAGCCGATCCATCATGTCCTCCGTTACCCTTGGCACCCAGCCTTGTTATTCTGCCTTGAGGAGAATGCTCCATTTCTGCATAAGAAGTAAAGCACGATGAACAACGACAATGGGTGAACTCACCGTTGTATTCCTAAAGACTAACTCCATTTCTTAACAGCCAAAGGCTCAAACCTATACATCCCAGCAAGGCAGCAAGTATACCAAAATCACCCTTTCTTGCCTCTTACTAGAATGTAATATGCTCAATTGAAACTCCTCTATACTCATTGGCATGGAGTTCCATCCCAGCACATCTCTGAAGGACCACCAGACACAATGTGCAATGGCACATTCAAAAAACAATATGGTCACAAGTCTCTCTCAACCCGCATAACTTGCAATTTTCCTTGTCCGCCAATTGTGGCTAACCAATGGGACTGCTTTTTTTTTTGCGAAACAGTAACTTTATTAAAACTTAAGTAATGTCTTTACAAGAAAGAGTGACAATCCACTCCGGAAAACAAGCAAAAAACACCTGACACTCCCTAGACCTAATCGCAAACTGCGCCAAATCATGCGCCAAATTATTCTGGACTCTACTAATCTGAGAAAACTCAATCCTACTCAACTAATCCCCAACCTCGCGCGCCTCAATGAGTTGCCAGATCGCCGAACGGTCACGGGTGTTCTCTTTGAGCTTGGTGACCACTGAGTGGCAATCTGATTCCAGAATCATCGGGGTCTCCGGCCATCTATGCGCCAGATGAACACCTTACAGACAAGCACGCACTTCAGCTTGTTCGGCATCCCTGCAATGGAATATGACACGCCAGGCGGTTAGTTTCAAAGCTCCAACCCAATCTCTAATTACCACTCCAATCGCAGCGTCGCCGGTCAGCTGATTGAAAGCAGCATCAACATTGATTTTGAAAGTACCCTGTGGTGGAGGACTCCATATCTTCTTAACCTGACCCACTGCCGGAACCTTGCTTTTACTCGTACTCGGTAGCAGACTGCGTTTTCCTTTGTTATCTGAAGGGTCTCCCTGTTGCTGGATGGTGAATAGTGAGTGCATATAACGATTCAGAAAGATGACAGAGCTACCGATGAAGGCCGAAGCACCCTCATGTATAACTTTATTTCGTATATGTTCCAAGTATGCCAGAGAAGCAAGAAGAAGCTAGTCAATACCTCCATGGAATAGGTGAAAACAATCTGCAGTAACCACTCGGTCCTGTTCTGATGGCAGGGAGCAATGGTCTCAAATTGCCGAGCGAAGCGCAGCAGCATGGGGGCACCTGATGACCGCATGGTAGGCATCTTCGGCCTGAGTTCCACACAGCTGACATATATCCTGCTGCTCAAGATGACGGTGCTTCTTATTGACACGGGTAGGCAAACTATTGTTGACAATTTTCCAGATAAAAACATTAACCTTAGAAGGAACTTTAACACTCCATACCTTCTTCCATACCGCGCGACCCTGTTCTGAACTTGAGCTGGTCCCAATCTGACCGACACCATACTGATTCCAGACAGCAAGCCTGTATGCACTTTGGACAGAGAACAAGCCATTTTTCTCATAATGCCAAGCAACAAAATCAGAAGTACTAGACGGCGGCAACTTGATCTTAAAAATCTCTGAAGCATCACAAGGAAAAAAGTACCTGCGCACGGCTGTTTCATCCGATGTACCATTATGAATCAAGTGGTGCACCCATCGCAGTCTACACGATCGTCTTGGACCAATTGGTTTCAGACCATGACCTCTTGGGAGCCAATTGTCACGCCAAATTTGAGTGGATCTGCCATCTCCTATCCTCTTGATGACGCCTAACTTTAACAATTCCAGCCCATACTCAACTGCTCTCCATGTTTGGGATGCTTCTCCCGCAGGAACAGAATCTAGCAGCAAGCCCTCAGGAAAATATTTTGCTTTAAGAACTCTTGCGCAAAGGCCATCAGGATAAGCTAGCAACCTCCATGCTTGCCGGGCGAGCAACGCTTGGTTAACAAGTCTGAGGTCCCTGAACCCCATAGGCCCATACCTCCAAACCCTTTTGGCATTAACATTTTCTCCCATGGGATCCATTGCATCTTTCTTCTACCATTTTCGGCTCCCCACTAGAAAGCACGATTTGCTTCATGAGTTAAGTCACACAATGTCAGGGGCAGCTTGAAAACACTCATAACATAGATAGGTAAGGCCTGGGCAACCTACTTGATCAACACTTCCTTCCCAGCAGCCGACAAAAACTTTTCCTTCCACGCCACCATCCTCTTATGAAAACGTTCCTCGAGGGGTTGAAACAGTCCCCGCAGGACCCATCCATGAGGGGTTGGGAGGCCCAAATATTTTGCTTCAAAATCTAATCTTTCCACCCCCAGCGTCAGGTGCACTTGATCTGTGATCTGCTGGTCAAAATTCCCATTAATCAACAGAGAGCACTTATTGGGACTGAGAAGCTGACCTGAACATTGCTCAAAGGTAGAGAGAACATCCTTGATAGCCAGCGCCTGATGCACAATGGCTCTGAAGAATAATAGGCTATCATCCGCGAATAACAAATGCGACACACTCGGTGCCCTCCGACACACCTTTACTCCATCAATATTTCCCAGTCGCTCATTGCGCTTCAAAAGAGTAGACAGGCCATCAGCCACAAGCAAGAACAAGTATGGTGAAAGCGGATCACCTTGCCTTAGACCACGTGTAGGGGAGAAGGGCTGCGACGGCAACCCATTGAAGCAATCAAGGAACACTCTTACTTTTAATTTGCTGCTCTGCTATGGAAAACTAGTTGAATTAAATAAGGGGAAGTAGGGAGCACATACCTGTGACCCGAAAAACAATACATCAAATGCACTTCCATGCTGACAGCCTGGGATGTCTGAAAACTTTGTATATTGTCTTGAGAACAAGGCCGTGACCAATGCAAAATATGAAAGTGCTTATTGCTAAGAATTTGCTGTGGGGAATGGGAACCATATATCTTTGTGCACTAAGTATTTTTTCCCCAATACTGACAGGGCTTTATCATTTGGTTGGAGAACGCCGTCAGTGAAGATGCATGAAGGCATCATCCTCTATGTCGTGGTGTTCCTTGAAGTTCAGAGGGCAAAAGAGCGTCGCAAGGGGAGCCTGTGGGGTTGATGGGCAGTTGTGCTGGATTTCCAATGTACAGGTGGCCACTGGCTGTTCAGAGGGCATTAGTAGGTAACAGTTGGAAGGAGGGATGTGGTAGCATATTCATATTCACCAAATGCTACATGGACACATTCTGCGATGCTCGGTGCAAATGGCCTTGTATGGACTCGCAGACCTTGTTGTACACAGGACCACAGCAAATACGGGATACATGCTGAACGCTCGATATGATTCCCCAATTAAGTCATTTGAACGAGAGAGACGGTAAAAGGGTATTCAAACGACTTCTCCCCCCTGAGGGTAGTAAAACTGTTGATTGTATTTTTGGACGGCTAAAGCTGTGTGCAGACTGCGTTTTCACGGTACTCCCTCTGTTCTAAATTATTAGTCGCTTTAATTTTTTTTTGATACATCGAATTTGCTATGTATCTATATATGAATTATGTGTAAATACATAATAAATTCGATATACCAAAAAAGTCAAAGTGATATGTAATTTGAAACGGAAGGAGTATCTTTGTTTTTGGTTGTTTTTGGTGAGGTTTTGGTCTTCACCTTGCAGAATTGGGTGCCATACCCGAGCCTATAGTAATGTGTTTTTTTATCGATCATCAGTCTGTTTTTTCGCAACATTTTGTTTGTTTGTTGATGAGTTCTGAAAGATCGGCGTTGCATCTGTTTAGTTTTCTACAAGAACAATCGTAGGACGACACGGGAACATGGGCTCATTGCACAAGGTCAGAAGGATAATCTTCTTATCTTGCCCAACCAGATTCCACGTCAGTAACGGCTCCCATCCCATCTCAGTGCTGCAAAACGTTTGCTTCGCTGAAAAAAGCCATAGCTGAAAGTAGGTACTATTCGTCGATTCGTTACGAGAGAAAAACGCTCTTCCTTCGCTCACTCGTAACACAAGCGAACAGGGCCAAAGCTGCTCTCGGTGGTCGGAGCCCGAAACCCAGACGCAACCCATCCTCCGTCCTGGACTCGCGCCTCGCTTTCCTCCCTCCCTCCCATTCTCACCCGCCGAAGCTTCTAGGAGCTCATCGGCTGAGCCCGAGCTAACAAGCTCACCGGCGGGCAGGATGCTGGCGGCGTCCACCAAGGTCGGCTCTAGGCTGGCCTCTCCACACGCCTCCTCGTCCGCTGCTGCTGCTGCGGCGGCGGCGCTGGCGAGCTCCCCCGTGCTGGGCTCTGGGATGCTCTCAGGCGCCGGGTTCGGCGAGACGGGAAGTCATCACGCGGCGGACGCGCCGCCCCCACTGCCTTGCAGTTCCTCGGGCGATTCAAGGTGAGCATCAAACTTCAGAATTCAGAACCGCCGAGGGCCAGACTTGGGTAGTGCCATTGCTTTATCTCATGATCGGGAGCCTCAACTGTTCGTTCGCAACTGATCTGATGACTACCTGAATCAATTGCTCCCTTGCCGCCAGGAATTAGCTTCCCAATGATTGATCAACTCCTAACTCACACCTTGCAAACAAGGGAAATGTGCTCAGTGATTTCTCAGGATCGGAACAGTTGGTTTCCTCATCATTATTTCTTTCAGCTAAATCTGCACTACTTTGTAATAGGGAATATTATTATCTATGGACGAGGCTGGTGAATCAAAGTCAGTCAACGCTACATCGAGGCAAAGTGACTGCTGCATTGGGCCACCATGTTTTTTGGTGCAGGTGGTTCCTCACGGAATCAACATATCTACAGATATTTTTCATCTTCTTCTCATCAAGGGAGGATATGGGCTGGGAGCAAGGTGTGTTCAAGAATCATACATACCCATTCATTGGTTTGGTTTACTTACTATTCTTTTGTGGACTTCGGAGATGATTTGACTGTTGTTTTGAGATACTTGTTCCAAACAACTTGATGATGTGCTTTGCATTAGACTTTCAATCATTATTATTTTAAGTAAGTTCCTATTCCAGGTTCTACGTGACCTGCCAGAGTATGTAAAAATTGTGGAAGTAGGGCCACGAGATGGTCTACAAAATGAAAAGGACATTGTACCGACACCTTTAAAGGTTGAGCTTATACGAAGATTGGCCACATCCGGATTACCTGTTGTGGAGGCAACAAGTTTTGTATCTCCAAAATGGGTACCTCAGGTATAGGCTTTATAAGAGCTCTCGTGATCGCACAGATTAGACACCTGTTTTATCTGCACCTACTGTAGACATTGATTTTCTCAGGACCCCGATTTACATCTTGGGTTTTTTCTTCAATATGTTATTGAATTTTCATGGAGCAAGCAGGACTGAGGCTGTTTATCTATCTTTTTAGATATATTTGTTGCTAGTTATGTTGTGCAACATTCCAGAGTTGTGAAACAATTAATGCTCCTGTCTATCATAAAGATGATTTTCTTGTGCCAATATGTCATAGTAATGTCGTATTTCTTCCAAAGTATTAAAGATTTTTTCCCCTCCTAAACTAAACTGGTATAGTATTTTTTTTCTATTGTTTATTAGTAGAAAGTTAGAAAATGGTGAGACCATCGACATCAGAACAGTCATTTGGATTGGGTTCTGACTTATTTACATTGCCTAAATGAGTGTGAGCATAATCTTACTCTTTCATTGGAGTGTCACCAGAAGATTTCATGGAGTGAACATAACATCATGGAGTTTTTCAGTTACACAAACCCCCTTTCCAGCGTCACCAGAAGATTGCTGCAATATGGTGGTTACTCTGTGTGGATCCTTGGCAGGGATATGCCACTCTCTAAAGGCTGAATGGAATTTATGATGTTAAGTCATGCCAGTAGAATCAGTTGGTACCTTGGATCCTATAGAACCTCTGTATCTTTGTTTTTCTCTTCACAACTAATATTCCTCTAGTATCGTATCCATTGGGACGGAGCACATCTGTTTTCAAAGGTTATAAATAGCTTCTCCAGTTTAATTGATTCTGTATATGTTCTGCTGCTGGATATTGGCACTGTTGCCTGGTCGCAGTACCCTGATATGAATTTGAGTTTCCAATAAAATGGATAACGTTGGGATTGTGGATACTTGTATACTTTTAAAGGAAGGAATTATCTAAATAGAGGAAACATTACAAAGATGATGCACAAGATCTGAAAAGATTTACTGAAAATAAGAAAAGTTTACGAGTGTCAGATTGACATAAACAATTAGTTTCACTGCACCATGGAGAAAACTACTGGAGTTAAGTTTCAGGCAGGATAATTATCGGAATTAAGGATGGAAGTGAATCTCTTGATTGTACTCTTTTATGATTGGTTCATCGTTCTTTTCATATTTACAGGCATTGGTGTCTTCTTATGTTCGCCTATCCAGTCCTTATTTCACTAAAATTACCTTTCTGTTTCTTGTCTGTTA